TATCAAAATTTTAGAAAAATCAGTAAATATTAAAAACGAAAAATGTGCCTAAATTTGTTGTTTGGCTTTGAGGTCCAATAGATCTGAAGCTGAATGAGTAAAAATATTTTTGAGGGCATCAAAAACTGCGCCAGAATTCAGAGAACAATTTGATGTCAAGCAACAAATCAATCCGATCTTCCCTGACTGTCTTTTTGTTAAAATAAGCCTGAAAAGGACAATTTTAGCTTTTTGACTTTAAAAATTCATAACACACCAGCCTTTTTAGATACGATATCAAGATTTTACACACACCTTGAAATAGATGTGAATAAACGGCGAGCAAAATTTCAACCCGATACCGCAAGAAATGATTAACTTATAGCGTCTCAACCACAAAATAATTTTTTCCGAAAATTACACTCTCAACCAGGAAATGCTCGATTACAAAAATGGGTATTCTCAAAATAATTTTTTTTGGTGTGGAAACGGTGCGCTAGAAGGTCACTGAACTGCCTATGAGGTCATTTGGTCTGGACGGCACAAACCCCTGTTTTGGTGTATGCCCCCTTAAGATTATGCCCATAGAAGACCGCTTTGACTTTCTTGACCTTATTTTCTTCTTTAAGATTGTGAAGCAACATATACCTGTCACTTTACCCTCATATTTGCAACCATTTCAAGGCCACTCAAGGTTAAGAAATAGCCACATGGACCCCTTATGTTTTGTAAGCTCAATCTTACCACGAGCAAGCTCTAACGAACTTTTACTTTAGAACCCATTCCAAATGGAATCATATTCCTCTAGCTATACGTGAGATAGAGATTATTTCTGAGTTCAAAAGCAAATTGACCTCCTACATAAAATTCTGCCGGAGGACTTTGATTATGATCTAGATTATTCCCTCGAGACAGAGATGTGAGGCAGACTACCTAAAGCTAACAATATGTTCATAAGAGCTTAAATCCCTGTTGTCGGTATTTATCATTTCTCATTTTAGTGCATATATCATCACATCATGGATTTCACTTTATTATATGATTTGATTGCTTTTGATATTTTTGTGTGATTCTATTTGAAATTATATTTTAAATTCACGATTTCCCTGGGCCGTACTTGTGCAGGAGGTGCATTTTGCTCTCAACATCTGTGTTTTGGTGACCCTCAGGTCCTTTGATTACCTACATTTTGTCCAAAAAAATCTGATTTTATCGGAGTCTACTTTTAAGAAGATTTAATGTTGTTCATTTATTGTGTAAATTTGTATGTAATTGATTGATCTGAAAGATTTCAATAAACAAATCCCTTTTAGAACACTTGAAATTTCGTAAATTTCGTAAAATCTGACAATATTGTTTCAGGGAATCAGTGAAGACATCCCTTTTAAGTTTTATCTCACAATATTGTTTTAGGGATGTCTCACAATATTGTTTCAGGGATGTCTCACAATATTGTTTCAGGGATGTCTCGTGCAGTGTCCAAGTGGGTCAGTCTGTTCGTGTTGTTGGAGCTCTTGGGGCTGGTTGAAGGAGCTGTGGTAATGGCTCCCTTGCTGTCAACTACCCCTCATAAAAGATATTGTCCACCATTACCAAAGCCTCTAAGCTCCTCCATACTGCAGTGCTGGAAGACAACAAACGTGGTGAAAATTAACCTGCTGGGGAAGATGAGGCTTCAGGATTGTCCTGCCACCTGTGCTAGCATTGAACCCAACCTGGTTAGTACAACAAAGATCCGTTAATTGATTAAAATGTAGGTTGCTAGGTGGTACTGGTAGGAGCAGGAGCTGCTTGACTTTTAGAGTTTTAGAAATAAAAAGAAGTTCAAGTGTTCAGTAGATCGCTCTGGTTTCATATGTAAACGATTTAGATAGCTCTCCATTAATTTCGGTCGTCGCGATTAGGTAACATTATGATAGGATTTTAACAAGATAAATGTTTCACTGGTATAGAACAGAATTTCAACATTTCAACGTTTTAACATTTCAACATTTCAACATTTCAACATTTCAACATTTCAGCTGTTTAGAGATTACGGGATGCGGCTTGGGAACCTGATAAACAAGTTAAGATGTCTCTACTCACTACAGGATGCAGCTTTACATAAAGAAGGGTTAAGCTCGGATCTTACTTTTATATCACCGACCCAAATGAGTTTAATAGCGTCCTATGTCGATGAAATTGTGAGTTAGAATATGATTCGTTCACACAATATTTTTAAAGTTTTAAAAATCAATTAATATAAATGAACGTTATTTGTTTCTATATATATATATATGTTATATATAATGTATTTTAGCCCCTTATGATCTCTTATTTCCTTCCGTTTCAGCAAGCGAAGCGTGAAGTCTGCACGAATGTTAACTGGATCCATCTTATGAAGTGCTCAGCTTTCATGTCCGAGGAGGCCAATGGTTCTATGGTACTTAAAATAACTTCATTTTATATTTTGAGCCACTTCCAATCATGGAAGTTAATTCTTTAACAGTTATTGCAAGCTTATCTATGGAAAAAAGAATAAAAACTGTTGCTAGATGAATGTAGCAAATGTTTATTGCTTTATTATTAAAAACTCTGCTAACCAAATTTATAAACCAGGATTCGAAGAAGATAAGGAACAAAGATATAGTTTACAAGCGAGGCTACCAGTACACAGCAGAGCTCCAGAATTACCTGGAAAAACTCTTCCTTGCCAACAGCACGTAGCTAGATCGAGCCAGCATGTAAAGTCTGTGGACATGTAGGAGGAGAAACTAAACCCAGGACGAAGCCACGCAGCCGCCTTGTGGTAGCCGCGCGCTACTGCAGGATGAAGCAAAGAAGATGTCGGAACAGTGCAGCAGGACGTTACTAACAGATTATAACAGATATATAAGAAAGAGGCTGTGTTTTTGTAAAGATTGGACACAAGGAGTGTGGCTGAATAATGATAATTTTTCATGCCTGTTATAATTGCTGTGAAACTTTATTTCGAGATGTTATTTAATCAACAAACTTTATCCCGTGACTGAGATTTTTAAGGGGCCATAAATACCGAAACCCACATACATAGCCAAAACCAGCTACTGAGCTAATTCTTAAATTTTCCATAGTTTGTTGTTATATTAATATCCCGAACTAAGTTTTTACTAAAATGCCAGACTAAACCCAACCCTTCCCGCAGTTATTTACTAAACCCTTTTTCCCATGACCAATTTTAAAACCACAGTCTCAAACGAGGAAAGGATTTTTCGCGGATTCGCTGTAAGTATAACAGAAAGGAGAAACGGACGGTTTACCTGCGTCACTAAGTTATGCAGTAGTGTTACTACAAGAAACTAGTGAATTTGTAATAAGGATAGAACGACTAACGCATTTCAATAAATCGAAAACTTGTTTTATTTGTTTACAAGTTTAAATGACTCATTGACGCAAAGTGGTTGTACATTTGTACATTTGTAATACTTAATTAATAAATCTGAATTTAACGTAGATTGGTCTGCACGGATTGAGCTCCAATCCTTTGTTTAAAAAGCTGTTTTACAAATGTATCCAGCTCGTTAAAAAAGTATCAGGTTCCCATGTTACCATGTTATCAGGTTACCATGTTACCGGGTTACAAGGTTACCAGGTTACCAGGTTACCAGGTTACCGGGTTACCATGTTATCAGGTTACCATGTTACCATGTTATCAGGTTACCATGTTACCAGGTTACAAGGTTACCAGGTTACCAAGTTACCAAGTTACCAAGTTACCAAGTTACCAAGTTACCAGGTTACCAGGTTACCGGGTTACCATGTTATCAGGTTAACATGTTACCATGTTATCAGATTACCATGTTACCAGGTTACAAGGTTACCAGGTTACCAAGTTACCAAGTTACCAGGTTACCAGGTTACCGGGTCGGGTTACCATGTTATCAGGTTACCATGTTACCATGTTACCAGGTTACCAGGTTATCGGGTTACTAGGTTACCAGGTTACCGGTTTACTAGGTTACCAGGTTACCAGGTTACCAGGTTACCGGTTACCAGGTTACCAGGTTACCAGGTTACCAGGTTACCAGGTTACCAGGTTACAATGTTACAATGTTACAATGTTACAATGTTACAATGTTACAATGTTACAATGTTACAATGTTACAATGTTACAATGTTACAATGTTACAATGTTACCGGGTTACCAGGTTACCAGGTTACCAGGTTACCGGGTTACCGGGTTACCGGGTTACCAGGTTACCAGGTTACCAGGTTACCAGGTTACCAGGTTACCAGGTTACAATGTTACAATGTTACAATGTTACCAGGTTACCAGGTTACCAGGTTACCAGGTTACCAGGTTACCAGGTTACCAGGTTACCAGGTTACCAGGTTACCAGGTTACCAGGTTACCAGGTTACCAGGTTACCAGGTTACCAGGTTACCAGGTTACCAGGTTACCAGGTTACCAGGTTACCAGGTTACCAGGTTACCAGGTTACCAGGTTACCAGGTTACCAGGTTACCAGGTTACCAGGTTACCAGGTTACCAGGTTACCAGGTTACCAGGTTACCAGGTTACCAGGTTACCAGGTTACCAGGTTACCAGGTTACCAGGTTACCAGGTTACCAGGTTACCAGGTTACCAGGTTACCAGGTTACCAGGTTACCAGGTTAGGTACATAACCAACACTTGAAATTGCTAGCCTATCAGTTTATGATAAAATACGCTTACACTTACAGACTTACATTCTTTCTTCTGCCTTTCCAGAATCTTACGTCTGCATTTGTTTATAAAACTGAGATTTAATCATTGCAGATTCTCTGAGAATAGTCCTGAAAATATAAACATTGGAACTCATCTGAACTTACCAAAGACAAATTGTAGATTAGCATAAATTATTCAGTTGTTCAACTGACAGCTTGACTTTAGTCAACTAATTACCAATTAGCCTCTCAATTGTGTCTTGATGTTTATTATAATTAATTGAAACTCAATCTTCATGCCTTACGTTACGAAAATAATTTGCGAACACCCAATCATGATACACATGATGCACACTTTTCACAATCGTAAGTTGAGGTTGTTACACTGCAGCTCAACTGTTCCAAGCTACCAGCTCTCTAAGTCCAACATTCATTGTTATCATTTGTGTTTGCTTGATCTGCTTTCAGCTATTATGGCGGTTTTTCTTGATTTGAAGAATAAAATTTTCGGTGGAGATGATTCTGAGAAGAATTCGGAGAGCAGCAAGAGCGGTAATTTTATTTTTACAGTTGTTTGTGAATCTTGAAATTTCCTGCAGCTAAATTATTTAGAACTCTTTTTGCTTTTTAAGTGAACTTTAATTTTTGTGTCGGTCCAGAAAGTAGCGCATCCAGTGTTTCAACTCCGGAGCCTCCTGAAGAGTATGTATCCCCTCAGAAGTCTGTAAAAAAAGGTACATTCAATGTTACTCCTTTATAATGTTATTCATGAATTTTATTTTCACAACTAACATAAAGATTAACATATTTATAGAAATAAAATAGGTGCAAGCAATTCAATCTACCCATAAAGTAGTGTACAGAAAAATACATTTAATATTATTCGACAACTTTGAACTTTATATCATGATAAAAGGACCCCTGCACCGCCTAATAGGCCTTTTAAAACTATGCTGATAAATGTATTCTGTCTAAAATTATCTTTATCCCGGTTGTTGCGACAAGTGAAAATGCTCTTATTAGGGAAAGTAGTTTACTCGACGTTTCAATGTAACTACATCGTATTCATGATCTCAAATTATTTGTTATATAGTAGTGTTGAAAGTATTAAAAGTTTTAATACTTTCAACACTACTATATAACAAATAATTTGAGATCATGAATACGATGTAGTTACATTGAAACGTCGAGTAAACTCATTTCCCTAATAAGAGCATTTTCACTTGTCGCAACAACCGGGATAAAGATAATTTTACACAGAATACATTATAACAATGCGACTCATAAATAATACTCCAATCCGGATTTTACATGCTGATAAAGGGTCGAAAATATAAGTAATTGTGTAGATAAGTTCTTTCAAATTATAATCATCTAACTAGAAACCACATGACTCCAGCTCCAAAATAAATATAATCACAATTCGACCAAGAAATGCGGCCCTATTTCCCGAACCAAAATGATAATTCGCGACCTTTCATCATGTACAGTTATACTCCATTAATTATAACATGATACTTGATAGTGATTATTGCCTCATAATAAGAAATAATTGCGTTAATTGTCCAATTATCGCTTTTAAAACGATTATTGTTTCTCAAAATGATTATTGCGGGAAATTAAAAAGATCATCAATATTGTAGGCGCCATAGAAGATGTTTACCCGTGGATAAAGCTGTTACCCAATCCTGAGGATGCAGAAGGATTTGATGAAAATTATCATGACGGCCTCAATAAGGTACGGTCAATTATAGTAAAGATTTGTCTGTTTAGTCTGTTTGCAAGATTTTCCAAAAGCCCCCACGATGATTTGTTTCCCTTTTTCATCATTGCTAATCACATAGGACGACAACAGTCAGGACGAAGAAAACCTAATAGACACTCGCGGGATGGCTCCAAAGAACATAGACGACAGAGGAAGGATAAGAGGAAGTTGCACAGACTGTGACTGTGATGAGTTTGAGAGAGCTCCCAAGGGATCCCCTTGTCATTACTGCCTCTGTTCTCCCTCAACTCACGAGTTGCTGTGGCCACCTCCGCCTGAGGTAGGCACGATTGTTCTGCTGAGAGACATGCCATAGTTGATATTTAATAGTGAAATAACGTTATGTTTATTTTTAATAGTGTCCATTTGCTTCCATTTATAGTTTTGCATGCTTGAATCTAACTTTTCAATTATTTGGTAGTTATATAGTGAGATAATGTTTAACATACACTCAGGAAAATCAGCCAATATCTGAAACTGAAGTAGAAGGTGAAGATAAAGCTGTCGTAAAGGAGAAGGTTTGATGTAATAGATATAATTTACAGTTTATTTTAATTAAGGTGTCAGACACAACCTAAAAAGAAATTTGAACCTGGCATGCTAACAACTTAATATATAAACTTTAGAATTTATAAGATTTACAACAGGATCAGGACCTAAAAATTAAAGCAGAAGAAGACGAAGAAGAAGAAGCTAAACCTCCTTCGAAGATCGGCGGTTTTTTGGCTAACTTTAAGAAGAAAGTAAAACCTGCCACCTCTGAAGAAGAAATGGTTACCATGGATTTTGATAATTTACAGAGACTTTACATTTTTCTCAATTTTCACTATCTCAAATTCAAAAATGAATCCCCCGACGGTAGTCATAGGGAGTTTGGAGGAACTATTAAGACTATTAACAAACTCTTTGTTCTTACACGATACCAATTATACTAAGGAGGCAGCAAAACAGGAAGAGTTGAGAAAGATCAAAGAGGAGATGGAAGAAGAAATCCGGAAATTTGAAGAAAAGAAGAAGAAAGAGTTTGAAAAACTTAAAGAGGTATAAATCATATTTTCCTTACTTTACATTAGTTTGATAATCAGTATTTTCGTTATTAGATTTCAGACACAAGCTAGAGTTTTGTTCAAACTCATTTAATAAATTTGAGTTATCAGATAAATTTGTATGTGTAATATTTTCTGCCTAAAATCAACCACACCAATAAATCATTAAATGAATTAGTAATTTACTACTGATATTAATTAAATATTGACAACGAATAACGAATTAGCAATAAATTAATAATAAAGACCGCGCATTGAAGGTATGGTCGGAAATGTACTTCAAGAGTCTGCCAGTTGAGAGATGTTCGGAGGACAGGAGGGGTATCGTCAGGGGGCGCTGTAGGGACTGTGATTGTGAAGGGTTTGTAGAAATTAGATTTAGTTGTTTAAATGTTAATTGTTAATCAATATTTTGTTTTTATTATTCGATTATTTGTGGGATTGGTCGCGGCCAGAAAACTCTATTAATTTTAGCGTTTCATTTTGAATTAGATAGCGGTAGAGACGACGAAACGTGTTCGTATCGCTATCAAGAAGCCGATATTAGGCTATCGGGAGAAAACCATAGTATAACTATATAGCTGATTTTGGCTGGGTAGTGTTGGTTATGTGCCTAACCTGGTGAACACAGTGGATATCCTTGCTGTACGGCTAGTTAAACAAGGAATTAAAACTGTGGGGCTCCGTGCAAACCAACCTACCTGTGGCTAAAGCTCTAATTTACAAAAACAATACATTATTAACTATACCATATCGAGTTTGTAAGATTATGGAATCAAAACTTTTTATCATCGGAAAGTGATCATCATCACATCAGTAAAGCTGATGCCAAGTAATTTTTGTGTCTCTAACCAATAACAAATATCTCTCTAAAAAGTACCCCTTTCAATTCAGATTTGAGAGTGATCTGCCAGCCTCCTCCACCTGTGCCTACTGCGGATGTGCTCCCACCTATCACGTAGCTAAGATAGACTACTTCACTGAGGAACCTTTTGTAGTTCATAATAAGGAGTTTGTTAACCAAGTTGCTCTTAAGAACTGGAAAAGGAAAACATTTGCAGGTTGAGAAATGCTGATATGCTGATATGCTGATATGCTGATATGCTGATATGCTGATATGCTGATATGCTGATATGCTGATATGTTGATATGCTGATAATTGATATGCTGATATGCTGATATGCTGATATGCTGATATGCTGATATGCTGAAATGCTGATATGCTGATATGCTGATATGCTGATATGTTGATATGCTGATAATTGATATGCTGATATGCTGATATGCTGATATGCTGATATGCTGATATGCTGATATGCTGATATGCTGATATGCTGATATGTTGATATGCTGATATGCTGATATGCTGATATGCTGATATGCTGATATGCTGATATGCTGATCCTTCTTTCTCTAACAGTGTTCATTTGTTGAACAGCTGGAACGATGATATTAATGGATGCTGGGCGCTGGCTGACTATGATACGTATTTTCAATGATTAACATTCTACATATTGTTTATTAAGCATGTATAAAATTGGGAGGTGGCACAATCTTCCCATTGTCGCCCAAATTTGTATTCTGTAGCTGTTTCGTTGTGATATGTTGCTGTCTGATAAACCTTGCTGTCACAGCGAAGTTATAACGAATTTTATATCAAACTCCTGACAGACCATGATGTTGCAATCTTGAAAGAAACGCTTGATCGCCATAAACTATTTGGATCAAGCTGTCTTCTCCCTTAAAATTAACCTTGATATTATACACGGAACCCTGATAAAATTGTACTTTTTACCCGCCCAAAACCCCTCCGAAAACTGTTATATTTTGGCACCAGATCAGTTAAACTAGATATAACCAGATTTAGACATGTCTGTTGCAGCGAGTCTAACGAACCAGTCGGAGGCAGCTGAGTCAGAGAAAGGGAGTCACACTAACGAGGATATGACGGTGTATCAGAATCAGCGGGTTATTGATGCTGCTGATGAGGGTGTTACTTACAAGGTACGTGTGTGTATAATTGTGGTGAGAATGGTGATTTTGCTGGGGTCTTGTTTTATTTTCTCTAAGATGTTCATAATTTATGTTGTTGCCTCGCTGGTTTACTATCACCTATGAAACTGAAAATAGCATACAACTTTCAATGTCTGGAGAGTTATAGATTTCCGTATTCAGGACTCGAGCATTGCAAATAGGTCCAGGGCTGGCTCATTTTTGGGAAGTATCAAATCAGTAAGTTTGAGCCAACTAGCATCAAATTTTTTATGCCCTAAAATTGATTAAAAAAGCTTTAAAATTCCTGGCCCTTTGCCAAGAAAGCATCTATCCATTACTTTTTACTAGCCCTACATTGTAGAAACATACTGGTCTAGCACATTTAGATAGAGACTGTTACCGAGCCTGTCTGTCCAAACACTGTTGTCTCTTCCTTCCTAAGATTTGTTTAATGTTATGTACTATTGGATATGTTTTAACAGTGTTAAAACAATATCGGAGAGCGCTTGAAAATGTCGTTCCAAGAGCAAGCGTCGAACGAGGCTGATAATGGTGACCTCGTGTTTGAAAACTCTTCTGCTAGTGAGACAGACGAATTGGAACCTGAAGAAATTGAGGCTGTGCTGGAAAATGAGTGTATTGAATTGGTAGCTCAAATTCCGGAGATCGAGCAAGTAATTGAACTATCGAACTTAGACACGACAAAAGAAGATGAAGTTGTCCTGAAGTTCGAGGTAGTGTCATTGGACGGGTCTACAAGTGTTGAAGATGGTCCAGGTTACAAAAGCTTAATCCACCCCTCAGACGACACTCAAGATTCCGATGAAGAAAGCGCTTCTGATGGTGGAGAAACTAATCCAAGCTCCTCCTCTGATTCCAGCGATGATAGTTCCTCCTCCTCCAACTACACATCCGGGTCCTCAAAAAGAGAAGACTCAGATGACGATTCTCAAGATCTCCGATTGCGACCCAAGAAGATAACACTCTCTTACGACCTCCGGGAGACCAGTTCGGATGCATCAGAAGACTCCGATGTGGTGGGAATCCTCCGGAGGGACCGTACCAACCCAACATCCACAGATAACACCTTTAACAGTTGCAATGATGTCACTCAGATAAGCTCTGAGGAATCACTCAGTGTTCTTACTGATAGCTCTGCAAGTGAGTTCAAGGGCTCAGACAGAGAGGATGCCATGCCTTTATCCTCCGGCAGTACCTCAACTAAGAGCACAACGGACATTGAGTCAGGTGGTATCAAGGACACCAGGAAAAGGAACAAGGGAGGAATCGCAGCCGGGTTCGTGTCTCTGCTGGGTCTCGGAAGGTTTTGGTTAAGTCCTGCTAAAGCTAAATGTAGAGTACGTGACAATGTGGCGTCATATCATAAGTGTACACAGATCACACGTTATAAGTGATATACAATGATGCCTTATAACTTTATAATGAGATACGTTAAGCATTAAAATATTGTCATTTGATCCGCGACTTATCCCCTTTAGCAAGTTAGCATGGAGCATAAAGTAAGTTCAATAAAATTATTTTCGGCTCATCATATTAACCTTTTTTCAGTATGATACGTTGGCAGAAAAAAACAAAGCTGATAAAAACAAAGCAACAGTCGCCGAAATCTACCCTTGGATAAAAGAAGAGGTACGATATGAACTTTATACTGATTATTTGGTGATTCGGGAATATACAACATTAATTTCCATCGAAAATAAATGTTTGGCAATCGATTAAATTTGTGAAAATATGATACTTGAGAAGATGATAAAAACTCTTAAACATTAGGAAAATATAGCTATGAAGGAGTATAAGGAGCAAAAGCGACGATACAAACAAAAGATTAAACTTCTACCATCCCCCGACGACATTGACGTTATCAAACAATGCTGAACACACATTACACTGACTATTCGACTATTCGACTGTTTCTTTATACAAATGACTATTTTAACTGTGACTTTGTTGGCATGTTAAATCTATAAATTTAGCTGACAGCAGATTGAAAGTTAGAATTTGGTGAGCTTGATGACCATGTCTTTTAGTAACATTAGACTTAACTGATCGACATGGTGGACGACTGGAAAAACCGTTATTGTTTTGCTTGAACAAGATGGCATGACTGACTAGCAATGAACGCATATTAAACAAGTTTTGATCTTAACCGATGAATAATCACTGAATAGGCAATTTGCAGGTTATGAAATTATGATTATAAAGAAATTAACACTTGTCATTAAAAACTAAATTTTATTCTTTCCTCTTAGCTACACCCAATCTTTGATTTTTTTACTGAATGTATTGATAGCTGGAAAGTTTGTTGATTTATTTTAATATTACAATTAAATAAAAACTCTGTGCACATATGACTTACAAGGACAAAATGAAATCTGTATTGAAATATTTGAATTGTGCTAACTTCTATAAGTATAGCCTAACAGTTTAATAACTAAACAATAAACATTAGCCCTGTACAAATGGTGCTAGAACCCATAAAACTGAGGCGGCAAATCGAGGGACAGATGTTTCGACAGACTAATCAAATAAGAAGTTACTTATTACAATGTCGCAGGCTGAGCCGAAAAGGAAGATAACGAATCTAGCACAACTTGTAAAGGACAACAAAAGAAAGGGTTTGAGTAAGAGACACAATCTGGTCCTAGATCTGACAGAGGAAGTAAGAACCCTGAGGGCTGAGATCGAGGACGTTCTATTCTATGTAAGTTAACGCATTTAGACTGCCTTTCTGAACATATCTACTCGAAAATGCAATTCTTTAATATATTTATATGAATCTAACCAAAAGCATTTTCTATGATCACTAAATTAGCAGTCCTTTTCAGAGGAACATTTTTTATTTAACAGCAAAAGTTAAATTTGCCTTTTTTTTTCTTTTAGAAAGGAAGTGGGGAGTGCATACTAAGCATTATAGCCCAAATAAAAAGAGAGCAACAACAGTGTTTGGAGCGAATGGAAGAGTATGATTCGCGATTCGACCGCGAAGATACGCCGGAGTCATATTATCGGAAAACTGAGATGTAGAGACAAAGAATAGACCGATTAGAAACTGTGTAGAGAACGTGTCTGAGTGCAGAGGGTGGCCATCTTCGTTGTCCTAAACAAAAATTTTATGACGCCAATAAAAATCGCAGGATACTTTTCGATCTAGTTTGACAAGACGTCAAGACAATTATAGAAAATTGTCTTTGTCGATTCGAAAGTTTTGATCGTAAAATGAACAACGAAGATGGCAGAAATCCTTCGAAAAAATTCCCTAAAACATTCAAAATTTCTAAAATTCTCCTACATCTTAGGACAACGAAGACACGTTGCAAACAGTTCTACAAGAGCTGTGGCAGGAGCACCATAAGCTGGTCCAACAGTTCGAGGAGTTCATGAGCGACCTGACAGTAGACTCTCCTCCTCCTTCTCCTATGTTAGTAGAAGAGACTACACCCACTCCAGAGCATGTACGAGAAGATCGGGCTCAAAGGAGAGTGGAGTGGAAGTTCAAGAATATTCTCAGTTTTCCGGTTGACGATGATGAGGCTGATAAGGAGTTTGAGAAGGGTGCTAAACCTAATGAGTTTGGCATGTGAGTTTAAGGACTTTTCTGTTACTTTCCCAAAGTATGTAGATATTGATTATGTATTAATATCAAAGTATTAAGCTGGATTCTAAAATGAACATCATGATTCGAGCATAAACACTGATGTTCATTTACTATTTGCAGTTTTAGATCATTACCAATTTGAGTAAAAAACGTTTTCAAGTTTGTATTTATGATTGATTAATTTTTGAAGATGCTATTTTAGCTTCATTTAGCTTAATGAGAAGGAACTGAAATTAAATTTAGTTGTAAAATTTTTCGTTTCATAACGAAGCTTTAATTTTACTAAAAAATAGTTTTTGAGTGCATATTTCCTATTGTTGCCAAAGCACAGAAAGCTAATCATTGAATGATTATGAAGCACTGATCATGAAACTGTTACCGACTTAATTAAATCTCTAAATTGATAACTAATGATACAAAGTAAAATAAGGCAGAGAGGTCTGATATATGATAGAATTGACTAGCGTGATTTAATGGAAAATGAAAACGTAACATACTGATTTAAAGAAGCCTCTCAAATAAGTGGTATAGCATATAGTCTCTTTTACTAAAATTGTCCTCTTCGCACGATCAACTAATTCAAAATAACCAAAATGCACCGATCTTATAGTAACATAGTTTCACTAATCCAAGAAAGAATTAAAAGCAGCCAAAATGCATTCAAAAATAGTTTAGTTCCACTAGTGGCAAATGATCTCTCCGATAATTAGAAATCTGATCTCTCCGATAATTAGAAATAACTTAGTGCTGCTTACTAAAAGTGTTCAGAACAGCGAGAACAGCAGCACCGCTAACCTGAGGAAGGCGATATATGAGCTGTACCTTCAACATTACGAGCTTAAGGAAAAGTGAGTATAAGAGCATCTAGCCCTCATTCCGTTGGTATATTATTCAATATTCATCTAGAACAATATGGTACTACCATAATATAGTTATACTATACAACAAAACCACGATTTGTCGCGGATTATTTGGGATAATAGAGGAGCACATACCTCGAAAAACAAGCCGGGTTTATGAAGACCTGCACCCGTGATTGTACCTACTGATGAGGGTATTGGATTATAGTGTCACATCCAGGTTGCAGTGGCGCCGTGCCTGGAACAATGTCTAGCCATTAGACAAAATCCCCCCTCACTTTTATGATGACACACGATAACAGCACTAGGGTTCAAGCCCCTAACTACTCAGTGGCAGCTAGCTCCCTGTATGACGGGCCCTCCCTAAAACCCCCGGGAGGGGTGGGTCCTGATAGTTGCAGCAACCCTGTTACTACCCTTTTAGTTCGTAGGAAAACCCCTTTTCAGGTTAGCACCTTCAACTGTAGGACTCTCAACCCTGTATCACGTAAACAGGAGTTAGCTCACTCAGCCTTCATGCATCATAATGATGTTATCTCCTTGCAAGAGCATCGCCAACACCACAAAGAATCCCTAAGAATTGAAAACATCTTATCATATCAGCTCATCACTGCTTCTGCTACGAAGAATTCAGTTAATGCGTCAGTTGGTGGTGTTGGGTTTCTTTTATCTCCTAGAATTCAGAAATCTCTCCTATCTGTAGAGAAAGTTAATAGCAGAATCATCTTGCTCCATGTAAACGGGAATCCTCGCCTCACAGTCCTCTCCTGTTATGCTCCTACTAACTGCAGTGATATTGAAGATAAAACTGCATTCTACAACGCTCTAAACAGGATCATCTCTAAGGTGCCTCCTCACAACATGCTAGCAGTGTGCGGTGATTTCAACGCGAAGCTCAGTAATAGCTACGGTTTCACATACCATCAGTCAACCAACGACAACGGCGAACGACTACTGGATCTGGTAGACCAACACCAGCTGATAGTTGCTAACCGCTGTTTCCAGAAACCGGCTAATAAAATTTGGACCTATGAAGACCCCAAAAGAGCAAAGCATCAAATTGACTTTGTACTCTGGCGTAAGAAGTGGGCAAACAGTGTGAAGAACTGTCAAGCGTACAACATCATGCAAACTGTCGGTTCAGATCACCGGATTGTAACATGTTTTGTTCAAGCCAGCTACAGAGTCAACAAAACTCCAGCACGGGACCCTCTTAGGAGCATTGACTGGACTCCACTGATCCACGATGCCATCATGAAACACCAGTATGCAGTGGAAGTGAAAAACAGGTACAGTGTACTCCTAGAGGAAGCAGAGCTCGAGTCCGACTACGACCTGCTCGTTAAAAGCGTTACAAGCACAGCACTTAAGGTGTTGCCAAAAAAGAGGAAGAGGAAACGGGAAAATCCTTACAACGATCCTAATATTGCACACCATCGCAATATCCTAAAGGATGCGTCCCTGAGTCACAGGATTTCCCCCTCTTTTTCGTCCAAGGAAAAGCTTGAAGACGCAAAGAAGCAACTGGACGGAGCCTATAATGCTGCTACTTCACAGCACATTCGACAAAAGACTGACCTGCTGGAGAAAACTAACCCTGAGCACAGGCATCGCAGTTCCTGGCACATCATCAGGCAACTAACATCTTCCGACACTGTGCCATACTGCAAAGTGCCAGGAGGCACTACCGAAGAACGGCTCAACATCTGGTTCGAGCACTTCAAGTCCCTTCTAGGCACAGAACAGCCTCCGCCGGACCTCACCCTCCCCTTCTTCAACCAGCGAGTCTCTGACACCCTGCCCATCAGCTGCTCATCCTTCAGCATGTCAGAACTCGACACGGTTCTGAAGTCCGCCAAATCCTCCAAGTCACCCGGTCTGGATAGCATCCCTCCCTCAGTCTGGAAGCTTCCCCAGCTACGTGAAAACCTCCTCGGATTCTGTAACAAAGCACTCATGGATGGTGTGATCCCTCAAGCCTGGAAAACGGCCTCAATCATTCCTATCCCCAAAAAGGGTGATCTTACTAATCCAGGAAACTACCGTGGCATTTCACTGGCACCGGTTGCAGCGAAAGTTTTTAACAAGCTCATCCTCAACCGGATCTACCCATTCATTGATCCCCTCTTGCGGCCAAACCAAAATGGTTTCCGTAGAGGAAGATCCACACTCCCACAGGTCCTTGCCCTACGTCGTATACTCGAGGAATGCAAGATCGGAAATCGCTCAGCCGCAATTGTGTTTGTCGATTTTTCGAAAGCGTTCGACAGCATTAACCGGGATGCCCTTTTCCACATCCTCTCCCTCTACGGTATCCCTGCTCCACTTGTAGATGCTATCAGGCTTCTTTATGACTCATCGTTCTCTCGTGTCCAGACCATCGACGGCCTTACTGACTTTTTTAGGACACTTATTGGAGTTCTCCAAGGGGACACTCTAGCACCCTTTCTCTTCATCATCGTCCTTGACTATGTCCTCAGAAGCTGCATGGGTGAAGAATTCGGTCTTACCATCGTGCCTAGGAAAAGTCGAAGAGTGCCTGCGGTCAAAATCACAGACCTTGACTTTGCTGATGATTTGGCCTTAATGTCAGACACCATAGAGCAAGTCCAACTTCTGCTGACAGACCTTGAAAATGCAGCCGCACAAGTTGGTCTTGCTATGAATGCTTCTAAGACCGAGTTCATGACCTTCAACATCCCTGACACTGTCGACTTACATTCCATCTCAGGCCGCCAGATTAAACAGGTTGATGACTTTAAATACCTCGGCTCTTTCATTGCGGACAGTAGAAAGGATTTCAACACAAGGAAAGGAATGGCCTGGTCAGCCTGTATTAAACTGCAAAAAGTCTGGTCCTCTGGCATTTCCGAACAACTGAAAGTCAAGTTCTTTAGAGCCTGTGTCGAACCAGTATTGCTCTATGGATCAGAGACATGGACCATAAACAAGCAGCTTGAGAAGCGCCTCAACGGATGCTACACCCGTCTTTTAATGAAGGCCAAGAACATCTCGTGGAAGAAACATCCAACCCTCAAGCAGATCTATGGCAACCTTCCATCTATTGCCTCAGTGGTTGCGTCGAGGCGTTCCAGATTTGCTGGGCATTGTATGAGAGCTTCTGACCAAGTTATCTCCACTATCCTCCCCTGGCGACTTGCCCAATCCGGCCGTGGAAGGAGACCACTCACCTTCCTGGACGTAGTAGCCCGTGACACTGGGCTCCAGTTAGACGACCTTCGAACTGTTATGTGCGATCGAGACGTGTGGAGGCAGACAGTGAATGGGATTTCGATTGAGGATCGCCCAAAGTAAAAGTAAGTATTTGGGATAATAAACAGCCGCGTTAAATCTGGGTCCGCATTATTATATTATTTATGGGTACTTTAACAAATGTTATCTGATCACTTACAATTCCAAAATTGCAGGTTTGGGAAGTTTGTTGACCAGATTGACATAGATTCAGCTATATCATCAGAAGGGTTTGAGTATAATCCACCAACTCCCGACCAAGTGAAAGGTGAGAGAACTTAATTAAATTTCCAGGACTTTATTTGCAGGTTAAATTTATCTTCAGGATATAGGAATAAACAAAAGTTTTGATTGTGTACGATATGGACGTATTTTAAATTCTGTAGCATCGACAATAGTCAATTTAAAAAGGTTCGAAGAAGTTTTTATTTATATATTTATACTTAGTGCCTGGTGCTTGTTTAACCTCAGCAACTTTGCAGCACATGCTCGACTTCGGAGGATTGAGTTCATCATCAAACGGTTCTTCGTACGACCAAATAACATCGACTAATACAACGATATAAAGCACATACAGCGGACAGCCATGCTAAAAGGTCTAACCTTGCCGATACATTATTATAAATAACTTGATATTATGTTACTGTTAGTAGGGATGAATGTTATATATTGATAGTTTATGGCGCTAGAATTTAGGGTTAGAACAGAAATGTTCTAAATGTATACAGTTGTATAATTTGTAATGAGATTAAGCGGTAAGGCAATGGATGGGATGTATACTCAAAATTAAAACTTAGCTTTTAGAATTTGGTAATAACTTGGAGCACATTTAGATCGTACTTGAATCATATACTTTATAAAAATTTGTGTAAAATTTATGTACATGAATAACAAGTTTTGTATTCGAAAATTTTTGAATTATATAGACGTTGTACAAAACTACTAAATACATCTTCTATTTACAAAACGATCATCTCCCGATCAATGTCAGTCTTATTTAGCCAACCAGTTGAATGAAATTAAACTAGTCAATTAATTAATTAATTAACGATCAATTAATCAATTGATTAACGAAAATTCTCAAGTCAACTAAGTCAACTCCTTTTACCAAACAATTAATTTCTCGTTTCTGGTAAAATCTCTGGATAAAATTTGATCATTGATATTGAGCAACATTTTAAGGCCACCTCCTCTTACTCCATGGATACGCTTTGGTTGCTTTCATTCAGTTGAAGCGATAATGCATACTCGAAACTGTTGTTCATCTTAACTGATAATATCCTCACAACAAATAAACAGAAGCCCGGTATTATACTCTTGTAGCAAACTCTTGTACAATGTAGCCAAAACGCTTCAGTTGTTGCGTACTTGTATCCACGTCGGATAATATTTCCTTGTGTTTGGAGAAACACTACTTCCGAATTCAACAATCTCCGCGATGAAATGATAAAAATAAATTACATCAATCCTTGAAACATAAAACCAGCTCAGCCCGTATCCACTGCGGCGGTGCTGATCATTTTATTAGTCGTATGCTGGAGGACCGGCCCGGTTATCACCGGTCTCTCCGCTTCGGAGGCCACCATGGTCGATCTCCGGAACAGTTCCTGGAAGGTACTCGTCCTGTTTGGGTGCCGAGCGGAGGCTTTGGACAGGGACCTAGTCCCCGAGGTGACATGAGGTGCAGACCGCAGCTTGAGGGGAGGGATGTCTGTGTGGCGGTGTTTCACAGTTGCAGTGCCGTCCACCTGACAGTCTAGTTCAGAGTCGGTGGAGTAGTGGGAGCAGGAGCTGAGCCTGTTACAGGACACCTTGTTCAGGGACTCAGTTGAGGATTTGGGGGACAGTTTCAGGGGCGAGTTCGTGTTGGCACGTGATCTGTTGTTGTGTTTCTTACTACTCCGTTTCGTAACCAGTTCTGTCCCCGGGGGCGGATCCTCTTTGGATTTCCAGGGTAATATCCGCTCAAAGAAGCTTCCTCTCCTCATCCTGACCTCATCCTGCTGCATGACAGTACTCCTCACTACAACCTCGCTATCCCCACCACCACTTCCCACCAACACGCTCTGACTGATAAACTCAACATTGGAAACAAGCGACTGAAACGAGCTTCTGATTTTAGTGAGTTTGGTGTTTTTATCCTCGCCCTCGTAGCTGTCCAGTAGTTCCAGGGCCACCTCGTGGAGGGTGTTGGCGTCTGATGTTAGTTGGTTGAGGGATTGTGGCACGCCTCGTGCTCCTGCTGGTAACTTTCTAGACCCGTAATACTCCTGCATCACCCCTAGCTGAGGGAGTAACGGGAGGGTAAGATTTACTTTTAGAATTGAAGAAGTTCAGTTAATAATAGCATTAAATCAGGCTATTTAGGTGTGTTTATACACGAATATCTCCACGAGTAAAACACTCAATATTAACGCATTGTAATGGTAAAGTTTAATATATCTTACATGCCAAATGCCAATACTACTGCACTCACGCTGTATTAAACCGTAACACTAAAATCTACTTTAAAACCTACTTTGTAAGTTAGAAGCGTGAAAATCTGCGCGTCAGTTTTGTCGAGACGCTGTTGGAACGTCGGAGCCGTACTTTCGTTGCTTTCTGTGGGAAATTTACTGTGGTTACGGTTACTAGGGTAGTTACTGTGGTTACAGTTACTTGTGTAGTTACTGTGGTTGCCATTACTAGGGTATTTACTGTGGTTGCGGTTACTATGGAATTTACTGTAGTTACGATTACTTGGGTAGTTACTGTGGTTACGGTTACTTGGGGATTTTCTGTGGTTACTGGAGTTACTAGGGTATTTACTATGGTTACTGAGTGTTGCTATAGTTACTTGGGTACAATATGAACACTAAATTGTCTCAGTTTTGTCTGCTTATAATTTGTCTAACAGTTAAAGATCTTCTTTGTTAACCCATCTATATAACCTGTCAAAAATTACATATCCTGTCAAAAGTCACTAGTTTACCCCCTACTCACACACTGCCACTACATTTAAACAGAAAGCAGGACCTCTATTAGTCACGTGACAGATAAAGTCTGATCTCCCGAGTCACGTGATAATAGGACACAGAGCCAAGTTGTCTGCGGAGAGGAGATCTAGTACAAGCTCCAGTGCCTGACTAGAAGAGTTAAACACCATGTTATATAGTCTCCAGACACCAGACACACAGGGATTAGGGCTAACAAAGGATCAGCGTGACAACCCACGTGATCAGCATGACAACCCACGTGATCAGCATGACAACCCACGTGATCAGCATGACAACCCACGTGATCAGCATGACAACCCACGTGATCAGCATGACAACCCACGTGATCAGCATGACAACCCACGTGATCAGCATGACAACCCACGTGATCAGCATGACAACCCACGTGATCAGCATGACAACCCACGTGATCAGCATGACAACCCACGTGATCAGCATGACAACCCACGTGATCAGCATGACAACCCACGTGATCAGCATGACAACCCACGTGATCAGCGTGACAACCCACGTGACAAAGGGCCCTGTGCTAGACATTCTGTTGCTTCTTTATTTGGTCACACATATTCATGTTTAACAAAGCTGTTCAAAGAACCCTGCGTTTTAACATGAGCTAGACATAGTGTCTGTGGAGAGTAAAGTCAGAGTATGAGGGTTACAAGATCCAGGGTTCTAGACACGACAATCGTACACTTGGTGGTCATCACTGGCTGTCAGGTACATGGTAGTCCAGGGTACAACCCAAATATCGGCTTCCTTTTTGTCTGTATAACATGTTGTATGTTTCCGTGTTCAATAGAAACTATGATTATTATATACGCGCACGTACGAACAGATACCTCAAGAAGTGCATGCGATATAACTGGTACATAGTTTTCTCTCAATGATAAATAGATAAATAGAAAGTTTTCTCGCGGTGATAAATACATAAAAGACAAATTATACCTTGACTCTTGTCTCATATGTATGATATGACTAAGTCGGAATCGTCCTGCATGGATATGATTCCAGTACTATTTGATAACAATAATAACCAGTAGAAGTCATACTTAAGATAAGACTACCCTTACTAACTGAGTAACTCATTTCAGATGTAGCTTTCTTAAGTTTGTAACCATTTAAACTGCTACTTCAGATTTAATGTCTATGTGTTTAATGATGATATTAATCAATAGAATTAAGAGTACTACTTTAGAAAAAACCTCCTTGTGTTTGAAAGCAATGCTAACCGGTGCAATAACTAGTAATATTTCAAATAAAACTTCTTAGTGTTTGAAAGTAATACTAACCGGTGGAATTGCTACTTTGGAGCTCGAAGTCCCCTCCTCGCTGGTCGATCGAGACACTGGATCTTTCGTCATCTGAAAGGAAATATCTGTCGCTAGTTTTAGACGGTCCGGTATCACTTATATAAGGGTTTGAAAAAGAGTGGGATGTGTAGCTGATACATAAGATAAACCTAAAGAAATACTGAGAGAGCAGGATAGAATAAGGAGTCGGAATATTAACAGATATAATGTAGGATATGGTAGGTTCATGCACAGTGCATATTCAAGCCTTTTAATTTTTTATCAAATATGTGTGCATATTGAGATCAGGTTATTTGTGCACAATGCACATTGAGATCAGGTTATTAGTGCACATTGAGATCAGGTTATTAGTGCACATAGCGTATCAGGTAGGTCTGTACTAGGAGCAGCTGAGACTGCCCCTAGTCAGACTGACTTCAAATTCAGAGGTTATGGGATATTAAAACGTGCGAGGAGTATATAGCTAATAGCTATATATATACATATCACCGGAGACTCGCGGGCGGAACAAAATATTGCACGCGCACGCGCGTGCAATATTTCATATGTCCCCGAGGGCGCTAGCCCGAGGAGGACATATTTTCGTATAGCACGGAGGGCCCATCGGGCCCGAGTGCTATACGATTTTTCCGCCCGCGGGTCGAGGTGATGTGGATTATATCCACCAGCGGGCGTATTACAGTTAATATATAATTTTATAAATAAACAATGGAGCTTGTATAAAAGTCAACTATAGAAAAAGGTCGCCACTAATTGTAGTAACCATGGTAACACGTCACGTGTTCAATGTAAGCCAATCATAAAGGGCTGTGTCGTATATAGGGGCTGGAGATGCACTGCATTCCTGGGCCGTGGGAATAATGAATGTATTATGTCAGTGACGATGAATATCAATAATATAGGGGGATTATAGTGCTGATGTGTATTATCATGTAGTGTGTTATAATAACTTTGATATATATCAAAGTATCATGTCATCTGCTCACGAGCTGCATGAGCAGCCCTACCGGACACAAAAATAAAATGTATATAATATAGTCAGTGTAATAAGGAATTTCACATGGAGACGATACAGAAACTGAAAATATTTTAGAGAACTCCGGGCTATATTGCTACTGGTCAAATTAAATGTCACTTGTTAGCGGGCTATATCATGAGCGGGCTGTAGAGATATCGGGCCCTTTGACAGCGGGCTGGTGAGAGCCCGCTATGCGAAAAAGCGCACGCTGGTGGATATATAGCTATATAGGTTTTCCTATTGTTCAGGTAGCCTGGACTTGTGCGGCCGTGATGCACAAATGTGGCGAGGATGCAACGTAGGATCAGACCGGAATCCGGACAAAAGTTTTGAATTCCAATGGTTGGTACGTATTCATAAAGTTCGGGAGAAAGAGAGGGAGAGAGAGAGGAAGGAATTTTAAAGACTAATATTGTAAACATATGTTGATGTTGATATAAGTATTGCTGAATCTGCGGAAAGAAACCGGGCGTATATTTAATAGTTTAATACACATTTGTTGTGCTGGGTAATTTTTTTCGGAAGCTAAAATCTGAAAAAAAAGTGATGGGAAAATTGTGCTGTTAATAATAGCTATCTCGCCGAAGAGTAAGGGGCTATGTTTGAAGCCGGAATTAACAGCTTTTTATAACGCTTTATATATCAGTCACTTACATACATACAATCAAATTGATCCTCTGAAAAAAGTTCCTTCAAACTGATGAACTCGAAGAAGGAGTGCATGAATAGATGCATGACATGTGTAGTTTTTTAGTGGTGGGTACAAATAACAGATCCGCCTTGAAGTTGTTGTGAAATTCATTTAAGAAAGTCTATATTTGCATATCATTTATATGCCCGAATTTCCCAAGCTCGACATTAATTCATCCTACGTAGTTTGACCCCTTGATGTTTGACCCAAACCTAACTGTTATCAAACGTTACCTTGCACCTAGACCTCACCCAGATCATAACAAAATAACAAATTGTTGCTGCCCCCTCCCTCACTGGCCCCCAGTGCTGCTGGGACAGATCTGTTATTTGTACACCAAACTGCCCCTCTAAAACCGGTGAAGAGAATTCAAACGTGAGACGCATCAGTTATAGTGAGTATATGCGCAAGAAGATTCAAACTTAAGTAAATCGTCACTCTAAGAAAGTCACCTAAAGTCAATATTTCCCCAGTAAAGCTTACCTTCGTTGGGTATTGACGGGGGTCGGTTTCGTTCGTGGACTTGTGCCACTTCCAGGTCTAGGAATTCGACGACAGGCTTCACTTTTACCTCCTTGTTTTTAGCTCTTTCCAAAGTTTGAGACAGACTGCGGCAGATAAAGATTTCAGAATTCGTATAACATGACTTTTGATTTAGTAACTGCACTCATGAGTTGCTGAACAGTAGGGATTTGTAAACAAAGTCTAGCTACCATACTCACATTTTACATTCTTCTTCAGTCTTGCAGATTATAGGACATATCAACGGCATAGCTTTTGATATCAGGTAAAATGACTTGGATTCCTGTTTGTCAGCGGATATCAAAACATCTTCCTGGTCCACCGCTGCAAATAGCACAATTTACATCAGAAGCTGTCTCTCACGGTGTTACATTACCTTATATGGCGTGGAGACCTGTGAAAAACCTGACAAAGTAGCCCAAATTCGGAGCTAAATTATCCTGTTACGTATAATTGACGTGCAATGTCGCTAGTGCCCATGGAATTCCTCGAGCTACCAAATATAGGAGTACATTGTGCCGACTAGTCGTCATGTCCTCTCGGACGTGTGCCCACGGAAAATATCTGCCACATCGACACGCGTAACAGTTTGCCGGGTCACAGATTTGACGTCAAATCTCCATCAGTGTTGAAAGTTATGGTAAAAAATCTCCCGATCGATATATAATATATGTTTTTTTCGGGTATGAAATCGTGGGAGAAGGTCTTCAGATTTGTACTGTGAAGGATATTCCTAGGTTGACATTAAGAGTGAAATATATTTAACATTAACATAATTCACACGACCATTACATACCTATGACTCTTGTGAATTTCTCTATGTGAGTATCGGCGGGAGGGGCTGATGAGTAGAGGAATGCTCGGTCGTTCGGGAACAGTACGATGAACTTCTCAAATAGAACCAGATTAACCTGATAATTATACATACGTTATAATTATGATAATCATAATCATAATAATCATAATTATACTTCTTAGACAATATACATGGGATAATCTCTAGAAAAGAATGACAACACTTTCTTCTCTCACACTTTGTGGGTATAAATGATGACTTGAAAATACACAGTACAATCACAGCTCCACCAATCAGCCCATCCTCACTTTCATTAAGTTTACTTGGTTACGTCAGTCTCGACAAAGTTTGCAAATACTTCTCGCTAATGACATAGGTATGATAAACTGGATATCATTTAGTCCAGGTTATCGCTAAATGCGATGGGCGTTCGCACAAGGAAACAGACAATTTGTTAGGGACTAGGGGAGGGAATGGGGGCGGGGATGCTCGAGGAGAGGGGCGGGGATGCTCGAGGAGAGGGGCGATGTTATCAGGATTACTTATTGTTAGGGACTAGGGAAGGAATGGGGGCGGGGATGCTCGAGGAGAGGGGCGATGTTATCAGGGGAGGGAATGGGGGCGGGGATGCTCGAGGAGAGGGGCGATGTTATTAGGGGAGGGAATGGGGGCGGGGATGCTCGAGGAGAGGGGCGATGTTATCAGGGGAGGGAATGGGGGCGGGGATGCTCGAGGAGAGGGGAGATGTTATCAGGGGAGGGAATGGTGGCGGGGATGCTCGAGGAGAGGGGCGATGTTATCAGGGGAGGGAATGGGGGCGGTGGATGCTCGAGGAGAGGGGCGATTTTATCAGGGGAGGGAATGGGGGCGGGGATGCTCGAGGAGAGGGGCGATGTTATCAGGGGAGGGAATGGGGGCGGGGATGCTCGAGGAGAGGGGCGATGTTATCAGGGGAGGGAATGGGGGCGGGGATGCTCGAGGAGAGGGGCGATGTTAGGGACTAGGTGAGGGAATGGTGGTGGGGATGCTCGAGGAGAGGGGCGATGTTATCAGGGGAGGGAATGGGGGCGGGGATGCTCGAGGAGAGGGGCGATGTTAGGGACTAGGTGAGGGAATGGTGGTGGGGATGCTCGAGGAGAGGGGCGATGTTATCAGGGGAGGGAATGGGGGCGGGGATGCTCGAGGAGAGGGGCGATGTTAGGGACTAGGTGAGGGAATGGGGGCGGGGATGCTGGAGGAGAGAGGCGATGTTATCAGGATTACTTATTAGCTGTTCTATCAGAGTATCAGAGCATGTTTAAAGTTTTGTTAGCGCAACTTACGTCGAGTTTCACGTCGTCACAGTACACTGGCATATTGAGGATTACCTCACCGATCTCTCTATTCATGTCCTCTGCTAACAATCGAGCCCGGGCTGACTTTTCTATTCTCTGTGATTCAGCACGAGCAACTTCTTTGTTTATACTGAGATAAGATTAGTTCAGTCGACCTAAATTATAACATTTCTGAGCCTTATTCGGCTCAGGATTTCATTGATTCTTAAATGTGTTTACATGTTAACGGTGAAATGAGCTTACCACAGTCCACACTTATTATTACATAGATATCATGGATATGACGCTAGAACATTCCTTAGAGTACTGTAAATCATAATGAAACCTCATTATTCATAACAGATAAATTTTTATAAATTATTGTTCAACATGAAGTAGACAGATAATTACTTTGAGCAAATGTCTTTGATCTTTTCTAAACATTCTGTCATTCGATTGTGTTCTTCTGTGGCAGTTTTCGTGTATTTATGTATCTGAAAATATGGAATTTAGTTTCAGGCTGAATAAAAAACGTGCGATGAGTGGAAAATATTTGAACAGACCTTAATTTCAAAAATAAATTCAGCTACAAAATACAAATTAATGTTTGTACAACAGAAAATAATAAATGAACACTACGCAACAAAAAAAACATGCCACCCGCAACAATGGAGACATAATATAGTGGAAACACATGGTAACACATGGTAACACATGGTAACACATGGTAACACATGGTAACACATGGTAACACATGGTAACACATGGTAACACATGGTAACACATGGTAACACAACAGTGCAACAAAGTTTTACCTGCTGTATTAGGAGGGGGTATTTTGTGACCCGTTGCATGGGGTTGGGAAGCAGCTCCTTTAAATGTTTCCTCCTGCACTGTGGGTTTGATTCACATTCCAGCAGAAACGCTGCAAAGTCTGTGTTTCTCATTTTCTCCTGAATTATTTAGCTTAAAATATCGATACAAGAACTTGAAATAAAAGTTTTTAAAACTAATTAAAATCAAAATTTTGAAAAATTCCAAATTTGGCTAAAGTTAAAAAATTATTTATCAAAGAAAAATAGTTTTTAGACTTTACCTTTAAAACCATCAAGGAATCCGTTAAATTTATACAATATTTAACTATTTCCTTCTCGAATTCAGGATTTGAGAGAAACTTTGAGATATAAGGTCCTATAGAGTCAACGTATTCATTTGAGCCTTGTAAGCTCACCAAATCGTTTTTAAAACCCCCTGAAAATCAATTTTATAGTGAGCTATTTTCCATAAACCGTGACGGTGACAAAATAAGGATTAATTGGTCACGTAATAAAGGAGCAATTAAGAAAATGGTATGAGAATATTTAAAATTTTATTTGGGTTTATTTCTGGACATTGGCTTTTGTGCCAACTCAAAAGATATTAACCAGAACTAATAAAATTGAGCAACAGCATAAAAATAAAGTGTAGAATTCAGTCTCGACTTACGATGCAGATCTACTAAAGACGAAAGGTTGAGGAATATTCTATTTGATAAGGCTGAATTTATAATGCTGTGGGTTTCCAACGGTTCTTGGTATGCCTGAAGATATTTGTCTTTAGATGGAATGAAATTATTTTATTACTATTTAAATTTTATTTCATGGAATTTGAAAGATTTAAGCACAAAAAACTGTCAGTTTCAAACCTTTTGGAGAAGTAAAAGGCATCTCAGGAAAGTTTTCTCAGTGTGGATGAATTCTGCTATAACATCTTGTCGTTTGATGTCATGGGTAGACAGTGAACTCTGAAACATTAGTTGATTTAAGCTCTTGTTATCGTAACGTGGATTTCTAGATTGAGGTAACTCATTACTATTAGCTATTCTAATAATAAAAGACTACATGTTTTTTGTCCCTGACCAGTCGTTCACCGGCCCCTAACCGGCCCCTAACCGGTCACTAACCAGCCACTAACCGGCCACCAATCAGCCACTAACCAGCCACTAACCAGCCACTAACCAGCCACTAACCGGCCACTAACGGGTCACTTACCGTTGGGAACCTGGCAGACCAAGGTCGGTTCTCATCCTCCACATCAAAGTCACTGTCCACACCGCTCAGGATGAACTCCTGGTGGGACTTCAACGTGGATGACTGGCTCGCGTTGTCAACTGAGTTGGATCGTCGGAGCGCTGAAACGAGGCAAGGTTTAGAATAAGAGATTAGTGAAAGTCCGCGGTGCCGTGGATTTGATGAACAGGTTTTAATTGTATTCATCTACAATGTTATCGACGGTAGCATATTAAGATATCAAATTTAGAATAAAACGTATTTTTATCAAATTAATCCAGACCTGTCATAAATTGAACTAAAATATGAAAAAAACTAACGTATTCAAAAAGGAACATTCAGATCCAAATTTAAATCGTCTAAATAAAAAAGAAAATAAAGACGCACATCGTGGCAGGGGAGGAATAGAAGTAGATCCCTCGCTCTGAGCCCTATACAAAATAAAATTACAAGAGTATCTTTTGTTGATTGCCATGCTGGCCATGCCCTGGCAGGGAGTCAAATACGGCCGGTTTGACGACAGTGAATCTGCAGGACCGTGTGTTATGTAACCAGCTCCATATGGATAATAACGGAGCTGAAGAACCAGTACTCTAGTAGCTAATTACAGCGTGTCAATTCAAAGAACCGTGTATCTGTGGTGGTCTGTAGGAGTTATACCACGTTATGGGTGCGTTCAATTAGGCATCTAATTTATCCTAATTGATCCAATTAAGGAGGTTGGTGCGGCCAATCAGGTGCTCTGGAAGAGGAAAATAACAGGCTGGTCTGGTGCTGTACCACAACCAATTCCACACGAGGTTCAGGTTTATTATAATGTGGACGAAAATAAGCTTGTATTTTAGAATTTCTATCTTGGTTTGCTTCTAGAATTTCTATCTTGGTTTGCTTATAATTGAGGCAGTTTAAACGCTGTCTTTAGTTTAATATAATCTTTCCAGTGCTGCCCATGTCAGAACTGAGTTGCAGTTTCAAGATCGATTGTAAAATGTAACAAATAATATGTCAACAAATAATAATCTATCAGATCAAACTATAATACTTCATGGCTTAACCCAATCTTAATTAAATCATTCAATCTAAATAACATCACTACCATGTAGCGGAAGAGGCTTCTCCTCAGCGATCGTCAGCAAACACTCCGCACTGCGCGCCTGTTTGGCCTGATAGAAACTCATCTTCTTCTTCTTGCTCCTTCTCTTGATCATCATGGTCACTCTTCTTGTCAGATACCCCAGGACCCTCCCTAGCCTGTACTCCTCTACGTAGGATAAGTGTACTAGCAAGCTGGACCAGAGGGAGGACAACTTCAACATGGTGAGGGGGACGAGTCAGACGGGTCACAAGTGAAACAAGTGGGACTAGTGGGACTAGCGGGACTAGTGAGACTAGTGAGACTAGTGGGACTAGTGAGACTAGTGAGACTAGTACTACTAAGTCCGATCTCAGGTATGGGAGATGGGATAAAAACGGAGGCTATGTGCGGATGTAACGCAATGTGATTCAGTGGACTGTGATGATGCAGCTCTGTGTTGTAGTCAGATAGTGGATATGGTATATGGTATAATTGTTGGAGGAATAATACGAATAGTCTAATAGTACGTCTGGGGAACAAAGCACTACAGTATCTTGGCAAAGCTGAATAGTTTCTGCAAATGTTGGCAAGGTCATGACTGGATCATAGGATCGCTTTGACAATCGGGGGGTTTAATGCACAAACAATAAATGTTGAAATACTACGAGTATATAATCGGGCTAAACTGGTACGCTGTTTAAGATTCGAAGTTGTCCATGTGAGAACTGACAAATACGATTAAACGTCAAACGTTGCACAACCAAAGTACTGCGAACATATATAGGCTCAAAATAGCACATATACTACCGTCCACACTATACAACATTAAAATACAACTTTTGCAAATATACGCGTAGACACCAAATAAGAGGTTAATAAGCAAGTTCGAAAATACAAAAAACCCCACTTTTCCAAAACGGTGTAGAGCGAGAAGCAAGGCTGGGAATATACACACAGCACAGAATCAACAAAACTGTTACTGTCTAGTCATTATGACATATGAGGCAGATATACTAGCAAAGATTACATAATTGTTAAGTGTTAGTAAGGCTATTAGGCAGTACTCGTCACTAGCTCGCTGCTTCCTCTCTCACAGATCGCAGGTTGGGGTGTGACGTCATAAGGTTGAGGTGTGACATAATAAGATGACGGTATCAATGGATTAACCACCAGGCATGATGCTAATCCAGTGTTACCATTGGTAAGGAGGTGTAATACGATACTAGAGGGTTGCAGGGCGATTCTCATTATCGGGTGGATGATCTTTCTGGCAACTTTCGAAGTTCGAACCCAGACAAATTGAAGAGTTGCCAATAAGATAAACGGAAATGAAAACTAGGTGGAGCACTGGAGGAGGGACTTGGTCTCCAGATCCGGAGTGGAGCGTGAACAAAATCGGGTAAAACTACACGGTAACCCGATACACTGGTAGAGGACAGTGATAAGCTGGGTGGAAATTTATATATTCTCCCGCTTTTTGAGTGAGAGAAACCCGGCAGAGTGCACATATAAAGCCTATGGTATATATATATATACTACACAGTTTATATACTACACTACCGGGAGAGAAGAATTGTAGTAACAGCACACAGTGTAGAGTTACAGACACTTCTTGCTAGGTGCACTGCTGCTGCAGGGGGTGTTTAAACTTTGGAGCGGGACAGTGGAGGAGTTGGGGGAGGGGGAGGAGAGGGTTCTGCTAATTGGTACGTCGAAAGTCAAAACTTTGTCACACTTGGAGGTTGTTTCTGTTACACTTTCGTTACACTTCCCACAGTGTGTGATCCGAGTAGAAAATTGAATGTGTTTTCTGTCGTGTGGTGAGGGGAGGAGAAGAAGTTAATAAGATATAATGGGTCTCATTAGTCACTAGTCTCTGTTGAACAGAGCACCTACTCTAGACTCCAGAGATTATAGTCTCCATGAAACAGACACTTAACAATCGTCTTCAAAAGGTGACAAAGCAGTAGATATGAAGAGGTAAAGAGGAGCAAGACTATAAGGAAAACGAAGGATTTCCCAGTACTCACTACTCAACCGTTGTCTCCTCTATACTGAATACTAAATTTGATGCATGAGGTAACACCCCTAAATTGCAAATGAGAGAGTAGGACGGTTACAGGTCATTGTACGTTTTGAGCGTATGTTGCAGACTATACAGCAGGCCGCAGCTCATTAATATGTTGATGAGTCCTAGTAGCAGCCACAATTGTGAAGTTATCTCATCCTGCTAGTTGTTGTAGCTACAGTTCCTTATTTAATTACTTCTAGCTCTGTAATGTCCCATCCATTGTATCCCGTTTTCAAAAAGATCTTTTCCGTGCAAACGAAAGATGCAACAAAGGAACGAACACTACACCTATGACTATGAAAAATGTTGTTATGGATTGTTTCGGAAATATCAATAACGGCCCATTATTTAGGTATTTTTATATCTTGTAATTTTGATTTGGTTATAGATCATAGAAGTAGAGTATTTATACTGTACTTTAAACGTTTTGCAATTTAATTACTTGCGTATCACTCATAATCAACATAAAATGAAGATGGAGGTCATTAGCATCATTTATTCAGGTTAAAATGGTGAAGTGAAGATAAGATCTTTCTAGAACGAGTCAAGTCTACAGACTCTAGTCTCTAAAAGCTAACAGTGCGGACAAAACAACAGTGTACATATTAAGACTGTGAGAAATGTCATTATCGCGATGCAGTCCACATGTTGTTGACATCCTCTGTGACCAGTGATGAATTTCGGGATGTTAGGCATGTTGAAAGAATTCGATACTGCTACAGCTCCGTTTATATTGTACTTGCGATTAAACACCTTCTCTTGCTCCCCTTTCACGTGCCTACGTGCCTTGATACCGGAATCTCCCTAATATGGTCGGCGAAGAAGTCTGTCTGGCCCTAATACTCTAATAATATGGCCGGAAGGTGGATATAAGGTAGTTAAATTGAATAATAGTAATAGTGGTGAGGGTATATAAGTAGACAGTACTATTAAGGGGGGGGGGGGGGGTTCACCCTGATTTTTTTGTGAAACTTGGTTTTGAGATAGCAGTTGACCAACAAACTAGGACCAGTGACCGAACTTTTGAGGGGGTCCCGGACCCCAACCGTCAAACGGTGCCCGCGGGGCAGCCACGCCCATATTTGGTCCAAATTAGGCCCAATTTAGCCAAATACCCTGAACATGCCCAAAATCCAGATTTTAGGTGCTTTACTTGTAGCTAGTGGTCCCCTGAACTCGTATATGAATTTTCATCAAGATTGGAAAAAAAATGACTGAGTTATGAGCAAAAAACCATATGACCATATTTGGGCATACGCACCAAATTTGATCGAATTTGGCCCATAAATTGGTCAAATATCAATATTTTTGAATGAAACTAACTTTATATAAAAGGTAAGCCTATGTTACACATTATCTATGATTATCAGCTCTTTATCTACCTAACCGTGGATTCTGTGTTCAAATAATCGCAAAAAATGAACAAAATTGCCCATATCTCAGTTCGCGATATTTGCAAAACTGATTTCGCTCAAAACAATAGAACTCAATAGGGTTTTAATATTTTACATGAAATTTTCAGAATCAACGTAGAATCGCATTTCGACTTTAAGTTTTGTATTGGAATTTTGAGTTAGGCCTTTAAAAAAATTTGGCGGCCAAATTCCAAAATTTGCAATGCGAAATTCAGAATTTGGCCGCCAAATTTTTTTAAAGGCCTAACTCAAAATTCCAATACAAAACTTAACTGCTATTGAGTTCTATTGTTTTGAGCGAAATCAGTTTTGCAAATATCGCGAACAATTATTTGAACACAGAATCCACAGTTAGGTAGATACTGAGCTGATAATCATAGATAATGTGTAACATAGGCTTACCTTTCATATAAAGTTGGTTTCATTCAAAAATATTGATATTTGACCAATTTATGGGCCAAATTCGATCAAATTTGGTGCGTATGCCCAAATATGGTCATATGGTTTTTTGCTCATAACTCAGTCATTTTTTTTCCAATCTTGATGAAAATTCATATACGAGTTCAGGGGACCACTAGCTACAAGTAAAGCACCTAAAATCTGGATTTTGGGCATGTTCAGGGTATTTGGCTAAATTGGGCCTAATTTGGACCAAATATGGGCGTGGCTGCCCCGCGGGCACCGTTTGGCGGTTGGGGTCCGGGACCCCCTCAAAAGTTCGGTCACTGGTCCTAGTTTGTTGGTCAACTGCTATCTCGAAACCAAGTTTCACAAAAAAATCAGGGTGAACCCCCCTCCCCTCCCCCCTAAGCCCGTCCCCCCTCTATAAATGTGCACTCTAAAGAGCACTGAACAGTGGTGTCCGTGGCAGGGATATAGCTATGCAATAAAGTAACAATTATAGTGTCGAGGAGATATATTCCAATAAAGTAACAGTTCAGTGTTACAATAAGGTAACATCAGGACAACTCGTGATATTGATGCTATATTTGTGGTTCCACGTATTATCCTGGAGACACTCGAGGCTACCTAATCAAAAGCATCAAGAAAAACTAAAATTCCTATTTATGTTAAATTATTTTTAAAGTTACTTATACAGGTGAAATAGTTTTTTACTCACTTTGTGGCGCTTTGCCTCTGTCAAACACGTTGGAGGTTTCTAAGCTCTTACACCGCGGCAAGTTGTCTGCGTTGCCGTTACCCGTAGGGAATGCGCTGGAAAGAAAATTCAAGTTGAAGTTAAAATTGTATTTATTTATAAAATTTGCCAAAATATCAACATAACACTCCATATTATAACAATAAAAAAATATTTTACCGTTCCAATATTAAATTAAAAGGGCAAAAAATAGACTTGACTAGTAACTATTAAATTGAGGATGGAGCGATCAAGTTAATAGTCGAAAATAAGAGTCCTGGACAATTTTGACTCGAATAGTGAATGAAACTGGAATTCCTAACCGTGCATTGACTTAAAGACTTAAGTATACTTTAAGCAAAACTTACAGGTTAGCAGCCCAAACACACTTTATGCCACCGTTTAATAATTATGCTTTAATATTTTAATGATATTTTCATTCATCAGTTGATTTCAAATAAACCCAACGACAAATCAAATTCGAAGATCGCTATTAAAGTATTATGTATCAAAAAATTAAAATCCAGGGTCCCCCTCTCACAAAAAGTTAGCTCCGTAAGGATAAAACAGAATTTTGAAAATTATTTATAGCAATAAATAAATGACTTCAAATTTCCCTCACAAAAAATTTCGCAATTCTCTGGTAAGCGAATTCGCGTGTTGAAGTTCACTTAAACGAAGAAATGATCACCACCCTGCGCAATATATATCGTTGCTAGGTTACAGTTGCTAGGTTAGTTTAATGATCACCACCCTGCGCAATATATATTGGTACCATTGATGTAAGGATACAAATGACAGTGCAATGATTGCTTGCGTGCCATAAAAGGTTATTCTTTAATAACTATTAAGTCCAGTGTTATTAAGAAAATGACAAACCTGAGCGATAAATCGACGCTGTTGTTCTGATGAAGACTTAATTCGTTTGCGCTTTTAGAGATAGCACCGCTGTTTGAAAGCTTTCTGCTTGTACTGAAACAAATGCTGGTTACAAACTTCTGTAGGTTCATTCAAGTACGGTTAATATTCAAATTAAAGTGTCATACTAGTGTATGATCTATAGTTAGAGACGGTTTCTGGCGGGGGGGTCACCATATTCGTTTGAAATGTGACAGTAATTATTTATTAATTTGGTTGACTAGGAGCATCGCGGTAAGTCACAAATAATATGGTATACGCCTCCCCTAGGCCCTATCCAGATCATACACTTCTATAATCTACAAAAAATGTTACCTTACGCAATTTTATGAACATGGATGAGACATTAACAAATTTTCATACGTTTACATAAAATATTGAAAGAGAAAAAAGAGGCGCTACTACGCAAGCATTGGTCAGCACCTTAAAGGATCAACAGTCAGGTCGTAAGGAGACGCACTCGATAGAGGAACCGCAGACCTTGCAGCTGGACAAGAGTTGAGCGAGCAACAACTGCTTGTTATAACAATCTCCGGCACAATCCTACAGTCTGGCATAGACTGAGCTGACTGGGACCTGCCCCTGTCCATTGCATCAATGTCGCGGAGAAGTACCAGTTCCGATATGTCGGAGAGACAGCGTTTACGTTGTTTGTCCGCGTTTAATGATGAAGTGGTGGTGGTGGTGGATCCTTGTTCGTTGGTTCTGATTGCTTTTAATGACATAGATTGCGTCGAGGGGTGGAGATTCTTCTTCAAAGCATTGTAAGTAGCTAGATCAGAGAACTAGTGATATACGATCAGCTATAGGTTATTAACGATTGACAGTAGCTGGATTGTGGAGCTATGAGAGTATAGTTTATTGCTAAATGTGTTGCCAAAAAAGGAGAACTTCATCTGAGTTACTGCTGACGTTAATACAAAATGTCATGTAACCTAGTTACCACCTAGTTACCCCAAGTTACCCCCTAGTTACCATGTAACCATGTTAACACTAATTGAGATGATATAGAGAGCTCTATCAAATCAAATAAAGCGATCAAACTAAAGTATTTCTCTAAAAGTGTAACGGTAACAGATATTTAAAAGATAATAAGTTATATCAAGTAAAACTAGAAAATCATTCGTATTATCAATTTGAAATTCAAGATTTTAAGCTGGATTCCTGCATGAAAGTACTGACCATGTATCACACATAGGCGTAGTCAGTATCATAAATGGGCGTAGTTATAACATCAACTAACAACTGTCAAAATATATTAACCAGCGCTGCGCAGTTTACAACCCACACACTCTAGCAGATATACAGGGTTCTAGAAATGATGACGTCACAATGTTGGAAAGAGGGTCTTATTATTAATTTTAAACTAATTACAACTGACAACACTGCAAATTATAACATTTGTTTAATACATTTTATTGAGGATGATACAGAATCAAAAAGGGGTATTTAGTTCGGAGAGTCCTAAAATCACGTTTCTCTTTATCTAAAGATTTAATATGGTATAACTATAAACTTATAAGAGGTTGGAACAATTGTCATACGTCATAAGCTCCACGGTACCTCATCAGAATGAACACTTATTCTCACCATTGTCGTAAACCGACTATATAGCTCATGACACAAATGTATAAGTGTGTTAACGAGAATATCGTACAATCTATTGTTAGGTACTGATCAGACTTCATACCATCTTCGTAACATATTGGAATGTGAATGGATCAACGACTGGTCAGAAAATAGGCACCAGGCAGTGCGAGAAAATGTTGGGAATGGTTGATAAATAACAATAAATGTTGGGAATACAGCGTAGCCAAGTAGGAAGTACCTTTATTCCAGCTGAATTCAAGCTGATGGCCGTATAGGAACGAAATTGTGCATCATATACACTATACTCATCAGAAGGTTATTTACTTGAGGAGAAAACAATAGCTACACATACCAATCACATACCTTGGCTCAGCTGTAATTTATAGGGAATTTAGAGTGAAACGAACGAAACAAGATATTGAACCATCCTGCGACTAATTAAAATTGAGAAATAATTGCTACAAATAAAACACACAAGTGATTAACTAAAAGCAGGACTATTTACAACAGCTTTTGTTCACTGTTCGCTGCACAGTTACATTTATCTCTATAGGCAGAGAATGTTGGACAACAGCAGCAGCAGTTATTTGGGAAATTGGGCGATTAGTAAAGCCGCTATACGGCCGCTATACGTCCTCTATAAAGCCACTATGCTGGTCGTTACACGGACACGATATCAATTATTTCTATCCATCTAACGGCCACAATACTACCACTATAACACGGCCGCTATAAGGCCGCTATAAGGCCGCTATATGGCCGTTATAAGGTCGCTATAAGGCCGCTATAAGGTCGCTATAAGGCCGCTATAAGGCCGCTATAAGGTCGCTATAAGGCCGCTATAAGGTTGCTATAAGGCCGCTATAAGGTCGCTATAAGGCCGCTATAAGGCCGCTATTAGGCCGCTATAAGGTCGCTATAAGGCCGCTATAAGGCCGCTATAAGGTTGCTATAAGGCCGCTATAAGGTCGCTATATGGCCGCTATAAGGTCGCTATAAGGCCGCTATAAGGCCGCTATAAGGTCGCTATAAGGCCGCTATAAGGCCGCTATAAGGCCGCTATAAGGTTGCTATAAGGTTGCTATAAGGCCGCTATAAGGCCGCTATAAGGTCGCTATATAGCCGCTATAAGGTTGCTATAAGGCCGCTATAAGGCTACTATAAGGCCGCTATAAGGCCACTATAAGTTCGCCATAAGGCCGCTATATGGCCGCTATATGGCCGCTGTATGGCCGCTATAAGGTCGCTATAAGGTTGCTATAAGGTCGCTATAAGGCCACTATAAGGCCGCTATAAGGCCGCTATAAGGCCGCTATAAGGCCGCTATAAGGCCACTAGTTATTTGTATCTCTAGCACTGGACAACACAGCAGGACAGCTATAACATACATAACCGCACTCGGACTTACTCAACACCTTTACAAATAATGTTATTGTAACATACAGTAACAGGATCCCGAACTATACTACAACTAGAATAAGAGAACGATCCGACACATATAGAGAGAGAGAATCCACAAATCTACGCGGTACAAAAGCCGTAAGTTCATGAAATCATACACGCGAAACTCAATTAATTGACTACGAATATCACATTACTCTTTTTTTCCTCTCTACGGGATCCCTGTGAAATACTCATCACGTATTGCAGATATGTTAAGCCTGTTAAACCTCGCATATATGATTGTATTTTGTAATGCTGAACTTCTAGGTGTGGTGTGGTGTGGTGTGGGGTGTGGTGTGGTGTGGTGTGGGGTGGGGTGCTTAACTTCTTAATGGAACATTAGAGGGACGAAGGACCGGGAACTGCAGGTCAGGGATACAGATACATGTTATGGGTTAGTCACATGGTCTGTGACGTTTGGTAAAGTAAAATTCAAAATCAATTCATAAATGATGAATTGATAATTGGATAAATTCTTACGTGTCAAAGTAAGCTTTATTTGTCAAATACTAAAATAGTTGATTGATAGTGATAACTTTGAAATTAAATTTAGATAAATGAAAAAATAAAATTTTGTTATGATTATAAAACAGGATCTTATATACCGACAAAAATGATTCATAAAATTCCTTAATGCGGTAAACTGTACCCTTGAAACAGATATTCCCAACACCTGTTACATGCAGCTATATCTTTGATTTCGTTCAATTCTTGCAAGTTATCTATGTGCAAATTTCTACTACTTAAATCACTTCTTAAAACAGATAACAAACACTTAACTTAACAACAGATAAAATTTTAAAGCAAATAAAATTCCTACACAAAAGCGAAACAAAAAAATGATCACACCATATTTTTTGTAAATTATCGCAACTTATGTAAAGAAAATCAAAATTATAATCCATTTAAACCCAAAAATTATTCTTTATTATGATGGCTATTGGATGCGTGTGCAGTGTGCATGTGTGATGAAATTATAGTATTACAACTTAGCAAACCTGTGTTTCATATGTTAATGTTTTATAAAATCCCATCAGGTCTAGACGATCGATTACAATCTAGACAAACAAAATGACGCATAAACATTCAACAAGTATCATATTCAGCCAGCTCATAATTAAACAAATAATAAACCTCATGAAAGGATAAATTACATAAATTACACACTAACACTATGTAATTTGTGGTGTGTATAACAGTCTATAGAGTATTGAAGTAAATAACTTTGCGCAGTGAAGGTTGAATCTGAGCACTACTTACTCATATTACTCAACAACAAAACTAAAACTACAGTAGAACTATTATGGATATCGCATTACTCATCCCTCGGTTCTATTGCATTTACCGGTATTACATGAATAAATCAAATCTTTCAAACTTTGATGCCAGAGTAAACCTTGTTTATTAAGTGGATATCTTTGATATGTATTAAAAGACTCCTGCAAAAGCTGTGGGGAAGTATTACTACTACAAGAGACTGTAACCTAAACTACATTGTGACAGTAGGAGCACTACCGCTAAGCTTAAAGCTACTGCTCAACCAGCCTAGTTAGTACCAGTGTACATCATCATTACTATGTAACAGTGCAGCACCTGCTTTATATCTTGAGCTATTTTGTTACATTGAAGTGGAGTATTAACCTGGGGGAGGCATACTGTTGTTTCAGAACCTCTCAAACACTATGTGTTAATCGGCAATTGTCACTTGATGGACGAACATCGGTCGAATACAAATTCGGTAAAACGTTACTCAGTTTTTGGATTAAATGGCAAAAAAGGGGACGGCGCACAAAACTAAAAAGACACGCACGAGCAAGATACAGGACTGCAGGGAACAGTGCACACCATTAAAAACAGTGCACGAGCAACAGCCAGGACTACAGGGCATCGGCTACAAATATTTTCAGCTAGAACACAATAGAAAGTATGTCAGGGAAGACGATAGAAAGCAGGCCAACTTAATTCAATAATGCCCATTTTTACAGTGGTTGTTTTTAACATTTACATATGTTGTTGAAGCTGCCGGGTAGAGGTGTGAATGTACTGCACTTGACTGCGAATATTTGGTATGTACGATAGCTAGATAGCCTGGGTATATATTGTAGTAAGCGGAGTAATAGTATACTGTATAACGTTATATACAGGGGGATGCAAAATGAAGGTACGAATTTTAAGTGGGTATAAATTTCTGAGAAAATTCAGGTGATACATTTTCTCAGAAAAATAAGAATGATAGTGATACAATGAAAAAACTAAATGATTGATAATTTGCAGAATCCAACAACGTCAACGTGTACAAAATGCTGCGCGTGTTAGACGATATATATAAAACTATATAAACTAAATATATTGTAACAGAAAAGAGCTGTTATAATTTGTATGGGGCAAAATAAAACTGCAAATCTGTCAACATGAGAACTGCACTGCATAATTTAACTGGTATCTTCTAGCTGTAGTATCTTGATATGTATTATAGAGAGTGTGCTTAATTGAGGGAATTGTGATTCACTGACGTTGGCTAGATCAAAAGTAATGGGCAACTTGTCAATAATGAGCTCCTCCTTTCAGGCCGGCGTTCTTAGAAAATTAAACATTTATAGCGGTCTTAGAGGCGGAGTATGAATTGTGATTCTCATAAAAGGTCCCTCTCTCTCTCTCTGCTTAGGTCGACGGTCGTTGGCCTCCTACGGTAAACGGAAAGCCTTCTCGCCGTGCCCTCAGATGGAACCCTCGTAAAATGTTCCATTATTATATTTTTCTCCAGATTTTGGCTAACATTTTTTCTCACAAAAGCCTACGTGGCTGGCATGCATAACTCTTTATCATAGCATATTATTATATATATTATTAGCATATTATTATATATATTATTGATACTTGTCTGCGCGACATTGTCAACAACTGCTAGACAGAAAGGCGTGCGGGGAAATATCTCAACACCTAGAGCTCGTCAGGATTACATGTTTCAATAATAAACAGAGAATTAGTATAAATATAAAGCATCGCCAGGGCGAGGAAATAAGGATAATAAGGAGAATTGGTATTAGTTGGATTATATTCCACATAATGTGCCCTGGACCCTTATAACTCTGCTCCCTTATAGCTCAAGCATGTGTAAGTAAAGTGGAAGTATCCAGCTGAAGATGATTAATACGTTTTTTAAAAGCGTCTGTTACTACAAACTATCGTATCATTTATATGTTCCAAGAAGTCCCTAAAAAAGTAACCGTTTTGTCTAATCCGAGATCAAGGTTGCATACTAGTTGATCGTACTTAACAGAAATCAATTAAAAACAACAATTGTAGTTGATTGTACTTAACAGTAATCAATTAAAAAACAACATTCATCTAGTGGCAACATGTTGGTAAAGTGCTTTATAATTATTACAAATCTATGGAGATTACTCACCTCAATTATACAAAAAAAATAAACAAAAAGATAACATTGCAATAAA